CTGCAGCTCCTGGAAACCAGGACAGCTGGCTCAAGGGATGCCCCCTCTTTCCTCTGGAATTTAAGGAGCTGAGAGCTCGGAAACAGTTCTGATTCAAACTAGTGGTTACCAGAGGGAGGGGTGAGCAAGACAGTGGTAGGGGACGAAGAGGTACAAACCACTGTGTATAAAACAAATAAGCCACAATGGTAAACTGCACAACACAAGGAGTAGAACCAATATTTTATAATAACTATATATGGAGTATAACCTTCAAAAATTGTGGATCACTGTATTGTACACCTGTAACTTATATAATATTATACAGCAACTATACTTCACTCTTTAAAAAGCCAAAAAAAAAAAGAGTTCTGATCTAACAGCTTTCAACTGTCTGACCCAACAGTCAGAAAAACCAATTTAGTTAAGTCACAGGAAAAGGATGGACAGTGGGGTGGGGGGGCTTCAGGGCGAGGAGGGACAGACCACTGCTAAGGACCCACCCCAGGGACGCACAGGGTAGCGGGCACTTGCCAGGCACCCTGCACCCCACCTTCTGAAGCAAACCAGATTCTGGTCATGAGACACAGTCTGAGTCTTCCTCTGCCTTTCAGAGTCCAAGCCACAAAGGGTTCAAGAAACACATGTCTATTCTGTAGCCTAACAGATGAAGATGAGCAGAAACAATATTCATTTACCCTCCCCTTCAGCATTTTACAGAAACGCCGGCTTCCTGGGGCATCCTATTCTAGCTCTTTAAACTGGTTAATACAGCTGCGTCAAGGGGACGCATCGGCTCAGTGGGTTGCTGGTACAACAGATCTGAGAACTGAAAGGTCTAACACTTCTCAGGCGATTCCTGTCAGCCTCCCTCTTCTGATTACCGAACCTCTGTTCAATCCCGACTACCCTGAAGGATAAAAGCCCCAAAGCCCCCCGCGGGCTCACCCCAGGTCGGCTGACTCTGCTTCCAAGATGATGCTGTTGGTCTTGTTGTCCAGGACGACATTGCCGACGTCGCTGCCGTAGAAGCTGGACCGGGGGGTGCTGACGCAGCTGGACAGGAGGGAGTTCATGGCTGAGGACTGGTTGGAGCCGGGGATGTTCATGGGTGACGGGGTCAGAGACCTCTGCTTGACGACCTGGTTGATGTTCCGCACCGTCTCGAAGACTCGCTTCTGGTGCCTAGGGCAGGTGCACAGCATTGCCCACGACTAAGCAGATGCAGGAATGACCTGGGATTCAACCCTCCAAACACCATCCACCGAGGAGCCAACCCACCGTGACCCCCAAAGCAACCTGCCATCACATGCCTTCCATGTGTCTGTTAGGGTGATGGCTGGAACTCAAGAGACTTGACACCCACAGGATCCAGGACTTCACTACGTGGTTGTACCCCAAAGGCGATGCTAGCAAGAGTGACATTGCTTCCTACTTCCCTTAAGCTTGACCTTCAAATAAAGATACTTAACAGTAACTTTTGTCTCCCAGCTAGTTTTCTTCTTTCATGATGGCCCCTGGAATGCAAAGTCCAGGAGGGCACTGTTCACTGTTCAGCACATAACAGGGCTCAATAAATTTTGGTACAATGAGTATTTGTCGACTATTCATATAAAAAAAAGTAAGAGCTAAACTTCTACAATGGGATAAACATCAGATTAGTCTTTTTTTTTTTAAAGAAACTGCCATTTCTGAGAGCAGAACCAAACTTCCACACTTTGAGGCTCACTTTTCCCTTTAAGGAGAAAAACGTAGGCATGTTTTTATAATGGCTGCTCCCTTCTGGGATGCAGAGGGCTGCAGACGTGCACCGAGGCTCAGGGATACCAGTTGCTCCTAGGATCCCATTTAAGTTCTGTCTATCGGGCTTAGGTACAGAGAAAACCTGATGAAACCGGATCCACAGGCTCCTTACGCCTGGGAGCAGGCCAAGTGCAAGGTCTCAAGTTAAGAAGAGAGACAGTAGAGGCTGATACCCCTAAACATATCCAGGAAGGAAATGGAAGCCTTGCTCACACCCCTCCAAAGAGCCTTCTGTATCTCATATCGCATCCTAGTTTTCTTTTCTTAAGATGTTAACATTTTTTGTAATGTTTTCCACTGAAAATTAAGACAAAAATGAGTAGTGATGTCAAGATGGAGCTTGTGCGGAGAGAGATGGGAAATACATCTGTCCCTCCCCGACTTTCTGCAAATTCATAATATACCTTTAAAACCCAAAAAGAGGACCTGGGAGGTGCTGTCAGCCATGTTCTCTAATTGCCCTTCCCAGACCGTCTGCAAAGGGACTATAGTGATCACACCGGATTCTGGGCCCACCCCACGGTCCCCAGGAGCTGAGAACCAAGGCCGTACGCGATGTCTGGTGACTCGGGCTCCTCCAGCTGCAGCTCCTTGCGCATCGTGCCCTCGATCTCTGCGGCCAAGGAGTCCTGGGAAAAGCCGGGAGACACACAGCAAGTGAGTGGCAGTTCACGGGCTCTGTCTCTAGAAGAGGCACATGGCCAGGCCACAGACACCCCACAACACAAGGGTGATGGCATCCGCCCCGGCAGAAACCCTGGCCGAGGCTTCCCCACCACACAGAGGGTAAAGCCCCTTCACTTCTGTGAGCTGGGGGTCTGAAAGCAGACCCTGCGTTCCCTGGGCCAAACCACGGAGCTGGGACTGTGACCACAGGAGGGGTGGAGAACTTGTGAGGGAGGACCTGGGCGGTGGGCACTGTCAGCTGGGCCTCTACTCTTATGGCCCTCAGCGTCCTGCAGGGACAGCGCCGGTCCCCACCAGTGATGTGTGGCCTACCCATCTTTTACGACCAGCTCACATCTCATTTCCTCCAGGACTCCTTCACTTGCTACCCGAGGAGACACCAAACGTGTTCAGTCCTTGCCAGCTCTCTGAAGAGTTCACCTGTGTCTTTTTCTAGCCAGGCGGTGGATTTGTGGTCTGGGGAAGGCCAGTCACTGGGGAGTCTCACCTCCCGGATGAGCCCGGCCCCAGGCTGAGGCTCAGCCACGTGGGGCCTGCTGAGCGCTCCTCTCCCTGAGCCACATGCCCGCCGCTCCCCGCTGGGAGAGGAGGAGCCCGATAGACAGGCCCACACACTCAGGCAGGTGGACGCCAGCAGGACCAGGTGTGTGCAGGTAAGCTCCTGCTGAGGCCTGGGAGGAGGATACCACGTAGGACAACCTGAAGGGAAAGGCTAAATCGTACTAATCAACAGAGCTTCCTGCCATGGCTGGAATGTTCTCTTTCTGCACTGTCTGACACGGGGGCCACTGGCCACAGGAGGCTACTGAGCGCCTGAAATGCAACCAGTGAAACTGAGGAACTGAATTCTCAATTGCATTAATTTTAATTGATTTGAATTTATATAGCCACTTGTGGCCAGTGGCTTCCCAGCTAACGGCACATGGGGACACCGGAGGGTCCACCTCCAGGGCCTCCGCCCACCGGGGATGCTCTCGCCTGGATGCTGTGATCAGGTGGCGAGACCAGGCAGGAGTCAGAGGGAAGCTTGATCAGTAAAAGGTTAATGGGCTTGTTTGCAATTCCCACTCACAAATATGCAACTGCATGTAATGACTATTGTATAACTCTTGAAAAGTCTTCCCAGGGCCAGTCTTCTTTTTTAAGCCAGTTTTTTTAAAATTCTGTTATCTACCACATTATTTACCTTCTGAGTTCTGCATGGGGGAAGGACCTTCATACCACCTAACAGAAACAAGATACCAGACTACTAATGACATCGCCATGCAGGGGAAAGTTGCAAGTGTGTCTGTGACTTTTGTGGCCATGATCCCCCCGGATTGTCTGGGGAGGAGCATGAACCCCTTCTCAGAATAATGTTTTTAAATGAATAAAATAACTAGGATTAAGGAGGAAACCAGATATATTAAGTTAATTACTAAAATGTTAATAACAACTGTGACAGAGTAACGCAGGACCTGGCTTCAGGACTGGGGAAGGCTGGCGCTTTGAACTGGAGATCAGCGCAAGTGGTGCTGAGATGTCACAACAACTAGATGTGTGCTAGGAAAGCAGCTCCAATCCTGACAGGTGACAGAGTCTGTCACCTACCTTCACTAGAGAAGGACATGCCAAGTGCAGTCAGGGATGAATAAACATAAAAGATATAATCTCCCCTTTAAGTTCAAGGGCCCCCTGAAACCTGCCTATAGATCCCAGATTAAGGACTCTTGCCATAAGGCAGGAGAATTGGGAACATACTTGAGCAGAAACTGCTACTCACTGTTTTATTCAGCAGTTAGGAGGGCTGGGAGTAGGAGCAGCAGATCTAGGTGTCCTGCTCCAGAAACATGGGCATGACGCAAGCTTTAGGTTGCCTGAAATACCTTCCATGCATAATGCACTTTAAAAATAGCCATCTTCAAAAACCGAGCTCTGCCAACAGCGAAAAAAGGCAAACAGAAGCTCTATCTCAGCAAATAATAAAAGCTGAGAATCAACCTCTCCAGAAGCAACCCAAATGCAGCATTTCATTTCCACGTTTCTTGTGTCATGGTTTAGTTTTAAAATACAGGTCTGTCCTCGAGAACGGGGAACGCCGGGGAGTGAATCCCAGGTGCGCAGGAAAACAAGGCAGCCCTGCGTGACCAGGGCGTCAAGATGAGGAGCCCAGAGGCAGGGAATGTGAGGCAGGGAGTGTGCAAAGCTGTGCGGCTTACAGCCGCCCCTCCTTCAGCTCCAGAGCCGGAGGGGTTGGGAGGGGGAGATTCCGGGGATAGAATGTCCTGTGCTGCCTTCATTGGGATTCCTGGAATCACTGGCTCACCAATCTGCTCCTTGGAAAGTTTTTTTTTTTAATTTGAAGTACAGTCAGTCACAATGTGTCAATTTCTGCTGCACAGCACAATGTCCCAATCATGCATATATATACATATATTCATTTTCATATTCTTTTTCACTAAAGGTTACTACAAGATATTGAATATTGTTCCCTGTGTGTCTTTCTTTTTGGTTTCCCTTAGCTGTCAATCAGGTTGAGAGAGAGTTCGTTCCAACCTGACTTCATACATGAAATCTAAGAAGAATAAGCGACTATGATTTAGGATAAAGTGGGCCAGGCAGCAAGGGGTCGGGGGCCAGTGTCAGCCACGGGAGGAGGGCTGAAGGACAAAGAGCCCCGAGGAGAGCCCAGCCTGAAAGGGACCAAGTCTCACAAACATTCAGGCCACCCTCCACTCCTATCTCATTTAGGGGAGTTTCTTGCAAAAGTTTTTCTCTTCTCAGAGAGGACTGGTATCTCCTCAAACCATGGAAACAGAGTCTGAAAAGTTCTTGGTGGTTTGTTTTTCTGTCTGTCGAGCCACCATCCAGATCTAGTATCCAGCAGGCATCCCTGACTCTACGGCGTAACAAGCACTGTGCCAGGTGCGGAGTGTTAGAGACAGGAGAGGGGGAAATAGCAAACGAGACATGGTCCCCACCTTCAAGGGGCCCCAGCCTGACAGAAGAAGATAAAATGAGACAGTTCTCCAGATATTACTGGGAAGAGACCAGCAGCGGGGAAGTGCCCCATGCAGCCCAACCCTACAGGGAGAGTCCGCCGCCTGGGCGGCCCCGCCTTCTCAGCCACGTTCCCCGAAAGCCCAGCCGTGAATCAGAGCAGGCCAGGGATGACGAAGTAAGACTGCGGGGACATAATATGAAAAAACATAGAAATGCCACACTCAGCGCAGAGGGAAGTAATTTTTCGGATCACAGCTACCGAAAGCCACCAGGAGAAGGATTAATAAGCAAACAAAGCACTGGCAGAACCGTAAGGCAATTTAAGAATTCTAGAGCGCTCTTGTGAGGCCAAAAGAGCACCGACTCTAATAAGGTCAGAAAAATTAATGTATAAATAGCACCTTCCAAATATCTCAGGTTCCTACCAAATTCATCCTCTAAGGACAGGAGCACAAAAGACGACAGACTCAGAGCGACGGAAAATCAAGAACCAGTTTGTCTCATGTGGTTAAGAAGCCACTGGCTGGGCTCACGGGCCCTCAAACTCAGTGTAAAGCCCTCAGATCCAGGGCATGAAGGGAGAGGCCACCTGCAGGGCTCAGCTCCAGACCCGCCCTCCCCGGCAGCGCCTGCGGGGCTCTGGCTGGGCAGCGGGCGGGCACTCACCATGGGAAACAGGCCCAGGGAGTGGTAGCGCCGAGACGCGGTGCTGGGCACGGTCTTGTTGCGGAGGTTCTTGAGCTCCTCCTGCGCCTCGTGAAGCATCTCCATGCACTCCGCGTACTTGTCCTCCAGCTCGCGCAGCTGCCGGAGACCAGGGGCGTGAGACCGGGTACATCCCCCCCCACCCACCCCAGAGAGCCCGGAAGACACGGGGCCACGAACAGAGGTCTTGGACCTCAGGGGGCCAGCTGCCCTGTGGCCTGAGTCCCAGGAGTCCTCAAGGCAGTTTTTCTTTCACCTGGGGCAAGCCTGCAGACTCAGACATCTCCTGAAGTACTAACAATGGGCAACTGACATAAACACAGCTTCACACAAACAGGAGGGCAAATCATCATTCCCTTGTTTCCGTCACACCTCTGAGCGGGGCTCCTGTTAGTGGCATGCGCTGAGTCCGCTCCCTGATGGGAATGCTTACCAGGAGCCCCGGGAACGCCAGGCTCCAGGCTGGCGTGGAGCCCAGCCTCCCAGGACCAGCGTGGGCCGAACTGGGAGTTGCCTTCGGGGTCAGAATGACATTCGAGTCAATATACAAATGGTTGTTAAGACGGACGGGACCCACAGTCTGTCAAAGGGAGGCTGATGCACAGCAACTGGGATCAGGTCCCTGATGCAATGGGGGGGACCACTGACCTCGGCTGTGAGCTGCCGCTGAGCATCCTTGGCAGCTCCCAGGTGCTGGACGAGTTCTTCATTTTCCACAGCGCACTAGAACATGGCAAAGGTACATCAGCTTCTCTTTTAAGACACTCAGCAAAGTCTAACATTTTCCCTCGTATTACCTGGGCTGTTATGATCCTATCACATATTCACCATGAGAGTTTTACCTTATACTGGAGGAAAATTTTGTCTTTTACATAGTTTGGAAGGTGGCGTCTTTGCTACATCCATATTCATTCCGTTTGGCCCACCCCGACCTCCACAGCCACAGCCGCTTGGAAGCATCTGACCCCACACCTCTAACAAAGGTCTTATGTGGAAAACTTAACTTTTTGCTGCTTCATCTTAAATCTAAAGGGGACACTGTTCTGCTGCAGAACACAGGTGCCGTGTGTAAGGACAAACACTGGACTAAATGATTCACAATTTAAATTCCCAAACTCTCTATTAACAGTATCTTTACCTTTCTTAATGAGTTCTATTAATCTGCAGATTTTTCTTAGGAGATTAAGTGGTGATAAATATGATCTCCTCGCCAATTCAGGGCGACCAGTTTTATGCTTTCGACTCCACTAAGCTTCTTCTCTAAAGGGACAGCAGAGTCCTAACATTTGAAACTAAAGGGCCCTGTCTTTGGGGTACCTGCCGTTACTCCATCTCAGAAAAGCCAGTTTTGCATCAGCCAGAGAAAAACGGAAGCCTTACAGCTTTTGCCTTCTTCTGCAAATCAACTATTTGCGAGAGCAGGTGTGTGATCTCCTCTTGCTGGCGGGCAGCATCTTCAGTTTTCTTGGCCAGTTCCTCTGAGATACTGGCAATCTGCACATTGGCGTCCCCTTTGACAACAATCACAAGACCCAGAGAGAATGATTTCTTTGTGGTTTGTACGAGAAAAGGCATCTTCATTACAAGACAGGGGGAGGAGTGGGGAAGGCACAGGAAGATGGCTTGGGGAGAGAGCGCTCATCTTCCTACAGGGCTCAGTCTGTCACGAGGAGGAACAGGGCCTCCAGCTGTGGCTCCCAGGCTCAGTGCGGGGGGCCTGACCACACTCACCAGCGCCACCTCCCCAGAGGAAATCAGGCAGCCAGGAGGTGCCTCACACACCCCACACAAGGTGCCTCTGGCCAAATCTGCACATTCCACACACGGAAACATCCCCATCAGTAACAGGAACCCCTGCTGTACTCTGTTCTAGAAATGAACGGCTGCCACCCACAACACAGTTTCCCCGGGAGTTTTCAACCCATATTCAGAGCCATAACTCACTTTACTAGATGTAAACGTCGGGTGTGTTTCACTTACTTAAGTGTTTTGCTGACACTCAAAGTACTCTGTTTGCTCTTCTGTCTCATCTTAATGTGTAAACTTTATAAGGGGAGGGTGGAGGGCAGTACATAATATTTGCAGAGCTGAGAACTCTGGCCTCAACTGTCACAAAACAAATGACTGGAAAGCTTTTTTTTTTTTTCACATCTTCAGTTTTTTTCATAACTTAGCCATGAAATAACCAATACTCCAGCAGAAAGCCAAAATTAAAATTAAATGCCCAACTCAGGGAGAAACGGACAATGTCTGGCTGACCACCCCGCACCCCATTTCTCATAAATCAGGTGGGGAGGTCACAATAGTTTTCAGAAAAATGGTACTGAGCCCAGGCTGGTGGGAAGCCCAGCCCCACTAGCGCGCTGCAGATGCGTCAGGTCGTAACCACGGCAGTGGGGAAAGTGAAAGGAGGGGCGGGGGCGGGGCGTACTCAGCTCCTTCACGCAGTCGTTGACCAGCTGCTGCTCCTTCTCTTCATAGGTGATGGTCTCCGTCTTCAGCTGGCAGGCCTGTGGACAGGGCTCAGGTGAGAGGCCCCGCAGCCACGCCTGGACGGGCTGGGGCCGGGGACACAGGCTAACCCTTCAGCATCACCCCAGCTGCCCCCTGCTGCGGCCTCAGATGCGGAAAATCGACCCCCAGGTCCCCGCTGAGTGAATGAATCTCAGAGTCTTGAGGCTGAAAAATGTGTACCACTAGAGGGCGGCACCCAAAGCAGTTGCTAAAATTCTGGGCGTGACCCTCCCCTACCCGTTGGTCTGTCTGTTCATTTGGTATTGTCTGGGCTCACAGCCATGGACCCCTTTGTGATTCGAACAGTGCCTCTGACACAGCCCTGCCTACTGCAGGCATTCCGAGAATAAGCACAAAAACAAGAAGGCCAAGGCTTATCACACCTTCTACATGCTGGGCCCAGTCCTGGGAGGTTCTGATGTTAGAGTCAGACCTGCTGTATTCAGCTAAGCAAAAACAAGGTACAACACGAGAGCATAAAAGTTCAGAGACCCAAGAGCTACCCCACGACATAGATCTAATGGCCCCAAGAAGATGCCCTAGGTAGAAGGTGTCTCTGAGCCCTCAGGTCCTGGCCCCAGGGAGACGCCACACCCCTGAAAGGCAGATGGAGGAGCTGGAATCTGTGGCTGGGATCACAGTTCCTCCACTTGCTTTAGCTGAAGACTCTGACAGGGGACCAGTTCCTGTGTGCCCAGGACTGGAGCATCTGCTTGGGGTGCGTGCCGGGAGGGGAAGCACTAAACTCAGAATGGGGAAAACTGGGCTGTAGTCTTGGCTCTGCCACCAGCTGGCAGACAAAGCGTGGGCAACCCTCTTGGTCGCTCCGGGTTTGTGTCTCCCATCAGTAAACAAGGGGCTGGAAGAGGTGAGGGACTGAGAGACATGACCCTTTCCACCAGCTTAAGAGCATCCGTTAAGCCCAGACGTGAAGCTTTTTCCAACATGCGGACAAGCTGGAGGTGACAGATGGTCTGCCCTCTTCGAGAGACCTCAGGGAGCCCTGGGCCAGCTTAGGTGAGCACGCAGCCCAAACTTGACAAACCAGGGACTGGTAAACAGGGCTGTACCATACCTCTGGCTAGAGAGCATAAACTCACTGATAACTAAACCCAAAGAACTAAATTTGCCTGCCTCTGTGTTTCTAGATATGGGCAATGGGTGAATGGAAATTATGTGGGGTTTGGAGTCACAGAGACTTACAAACCCTGGCTTTGTCGTCGCTCATTTGTAAGATCCTGGGCAATCAAAACACCCAGCAGCCTGGGTCCCAGTTTTTCCTAGTATGAATGAGAATCAAAGTAACCAGCCTCCAGCCTTGTGGGAAAGATTTTTTTTTTTTTAAAAAAAGAATGCAGGTAAAATACGTAGCACCGTGACCAGGCAATCAGAAACACTCAGAAGCACGTGTCCCCAAGCTGCCTTGGCCTAACCTTCTGAAGTTAACTATCTGAGAACTATACCCCCCAGGGTTCCTGTACTAGGTCTGTGAAGCCCACATGACCTGCAGGAATGTGAAAACGAGGCTTTCATGCCGGGATTTCAGGTCATTTCTACGTCTGAGCTGGAGACCACCACGGCAAAGCCCCACTTCCCAGGAGCTTGGCCCTGCCCGTGTAGGAGGAGGGGTTTACCGCGCCTGCCCACCCGCTCGCCACCTCTTCGACCAGTTGGTCTGCCGCAGCTGGGACGGCATGTGCCGCCCTGTGAGGCTGCCGGCTGGCACGCAGGGCAGCGGGTACCCCAGGTTCACGGGGCTCTGTAAACACGGCTGCTCTCACCAGATAAGGCAATCAGAAAAGGCCACCCACCACTTTCACAGGGGACAAGGGCAGGGCGTGTACTTCACCTCAGATCGAAGTACAACGTTTTCCTCTTCAAGGTCCTTCAGCTTCTTCTGGAGAGAATCCAGATGGAAGTAATTCTGGACGGAGGAGGACGACTCATTCCTCTTCAACCTGCAGGAGAGAGTACACTTTCTAGAGGGAGAGATATCTCCGCCCACCCCTGGCAAACCATGGGAGGGGACACAGAAGGGCTGTTTCAAGGAAAGCTCAGGGAATGCACAGGTGTGACAGTGACGCGTCAGGCTGCTCCACCACTACGGGAAAAACAGCGCCTGAGGGCGCACAGGCTCCCAGCGCTCAGACCCCCGTCCCCACCCTTCACGGCCACCCCGCGGAATCCAGGGGAATCAACTCTATTTGAAGCCTAGCCAATGCTGGAATGCCTTCTGTGTGCCAAGAGCTGTACTAAGTACTCTACCCGTATGAGCTCATTTAATGCTCACAGCCCTGTGAACTAAGTACTAACTATTATCATCTCCATTCCACAAATGAGGAAACAAGCATAGAGAAGTTAAGTAACTTGGCCGTGAGCACACGGCTAGTGAAGGCATGGAGCCAAGATCTGAGCACAGGCCATGGGGCTTGAGAGTTCATGTTCCTAACTGGAGACCCTGCTAACTTGGAGAACCCCCTACCCCTTCTGTCCCAAGGACCCACCCTGGCACTGCTGGCTCCAGAACCCCGTATTTCCTCCAGCAGCAGAGTCCAGCCTCTCATTCATTAACAGCCAGGCCAGATCAATCTGAGCTGACAAATAAGCACTAAAACTCAGGCTTTCCTAAAACTAAAAACTAAAATCCCATGGAAATAAGAAAATCAATCTGTTGGAGGCACTTGGCGAGGCTTGGCCTGAAGGCTGAGCAGCTGACCCGCGTGGCCAGTGAAGGTGACCCTGATCAGGCAGCTCCAAGGACGTGGACCACAGCCAGCCCGAGCCCCGGCCTCCAGCGGCCCCCGTGACTTACGGGGTGGAGCACACGGACTCGGGCTCGCTCTCCTCCGCGGCGCTGGTGTAGAACTGCAGCAGCTCATCCTTCATGGACAGTTCATGCCGGAGCTGTGACACCTGCACAGACACGACAGGCCCGTCACACTCTCCCAGGGAGACAGCGCCCACCTCGTGTGCATGCACTGACTGCTCGGGGACAATGTCTCTTTGGGTCCTCTTTACAAGTGCAGGCATGTCACTGATTTTGTGCTACTCAAGGAAAACAAAGGGTTGTGTTTCATCCTGTTGAAGAAAACCACAATTATCTTTTGGCAGAAACCCCTCTGCTTAAATCTGTAGCTTTTACTTTAGCCCAGAGAAGAGGCGAGAAGGGGACGAGAAGGTTCTAGAATGATGGCTAGGGGGACAAGACAGAATATAGGCTGTGCAAGGAGCCACGTGACCAGCTAGGCAAATGCCCAGGGATATGGATCAGAGCACCAAATGAAAGAAGGGGTCATTCACTGCTGCCGAAACCAAATCCCATCTGGGACCAGGACGCTGGCGATGCCAGTTCTGGGTGGGCAGCTACACGCAGCCTGCTCCTCAACCCTTGTTCTCCCACTTGGAAAACCTTGCAGCCCCACCCTGTGACTGCTCCACCCTCACAGGAACCCTGGCCAAGCGTGGCCAGCCCTTGCTTTGTACTCAATGATTACAAGATAGGAACTCCAGATACAAGAAGAAAACAGGCAACCGTCAGGAACCGGCCGTGCTGACTAGTGCCAGGATGGTTCTGCAGGTCACGCTTATTTATACTTCAGGTTTAAAATGAACAAACCCGAGCCATAAAGACTTTCACCCGCCCCTTCACCATTCAGCACTGATGAACAGGGAACCAGTGCTGTAAGCGAGAATGATAATTGTTTCAGTTCTTTCCTGTTTCTAATTTGATTTGTGGTCTAGAGTTTATTCCAACTTTCCCACACAACACAGTGACTGTATTTTATCTTCCATGGAGAAGCCAGTTTTATGTGCGTAAAGGCTTCAGCTTCAACACCTAGACTGATCACTGAACGGGGTGCCAATGGGAAACAGGTTTCAAACTCAAAGCTTTTCCAAGGGGGGAAAAAGGCACTTCCACTCCCACAGTGCAGGATGCTCTTTGTGGGAGGCAAGGAAGCCCCAAGCAAGGGCAGCGACGGGGAGAAGCAGCACTAAAGGATGATGGTGACCGTTTACTGGTTCCCGGTGGCCTGTCCCCCTGCTCAGAAGGGGCCGGGGGAGCGGCCAGGCTGACCTGCTCTGACACCAGGGAGGAGTCCCGGTCATGATGCTGGAGGCAGGGAAGACGGGAGGCAGCTTTACTTCCCCTAGAACATGACTGTTTTACCTCATCATCTTTTAAAGAAAGCCTGGGGTTAAAACTTCTTTATACAGGGCAGTATGTCAGTTTTATCTCAATAAAGCTGGAAGAAAAAAAAAATCAGTAAAAATTACAAGGCAGGGAGAGTATAGCTCAAGCAGTAGAGAGCACGGTTAGCAAGCATGAGGTCCTGGGTTCAAGCCCCGGTACCTTCTCAAATACATACATACATAAACAAACAAACCTAATTACCTCCCATGCCAGAAAAAAAAATTTTTTTTAACAAATACATGAAAAATAAAAATTACAGCAAACTCAAGGAAAAAAACTCTCTTAATAGGGCCGACTCATCTGTTCTCATTAGTTTAATATCTGATATGTACTCTATCCGAGGACAATATATTAAATGGATGTTTGGAGCATCGAGATTTGCAGATACTAACTACCATCTATAAATAAACAACAAGTTTATAGTGTACAGCACAGAGAACTATCTTCAATATCTTGCAGTAACCTATAATTAAAAAAATAGGAAAAGGAATATTTGTATGTACACGTATGACTGAAACATGCTGCTGTACATCAGAAACAGACAAGACTGTGAACTGACGAGACTTCAATAAAAAAAAATAGTGGTGACTCTATTCCATCATTTTAAAATGATTGTTAAACCCAGACAACAAGAGCTGGGAATGAGCTTCCACGAGGAAGAAGTCTGAGTGTATCTGAGGGGCATGAACAAGGACAGCCCCACCTACTGAGAAACTTTCCGATAGAAAGTAAGGGAGAACAAACGAGAAGGAAAGCAAATCAAAGTCTTCACAGTTCAAAATCCACTGTTCAAAGGGCAGTTAGGACAATGGGAAGGAAGCTACCGAGTGGGGCCTGGCTCTAAACTTCCAACTCTGGTCCCAGCAACCCCGCCCGACTCTGCTGCCTTCCTCCCCCCGCCCACACCACATCCCTCCCAGGAACCGGTGCTGCTCCTCTGCAGCCTCAGCCCCAAGTTAGGCCTACACAGGTCATCCTCCTCTCCCCCACCACGATATCCATGAGCCAAGATTTGTATCATGAAAATAGGAGGGTTTCTATTATGACAACAATAGCCTATTTTTGGTAGTGTTTTCCAAACACAAAATTATGCTGTAATGCTGTCAGAGCCATCACCGCCTCACTCTGCAGCACGGCCAGTCCCCGGACCTGGCTCCTCTCCGCCTGCCCTCGCCCACCCCAGCTCAGGAACCCCACCTCGTTGCTGGAATAGCCTGTGTGTGCTTATCCAAGCTCAGAGCGTCTGTCTCGACCGACGGGATGATCTGGACTCTTGGAGGACAGGGACTGTGGCTGCCCGGGGCTGGGCACTGGGGGCCTCCTGACCACATGAGGGCTGGCCCTAACTCCCATGGCCCCATCCACACCATCAGAAGGAGACAAGGAAACAGAAGGAGCAGCAGGGAGGCAGCTTCCTGAGCGTGTGTGGGAGGGGCATTTCCCACCAGGACCCCGTCACACCATCACCTTCCTGGCCATGCCCGCAGTGCCCCAGCGCCTGCAGCCGCCGCCTCTGCCACCAGCTCCTCACCTCCTCCCTGATGTGCTCAACCTGCTCCTCCAGCAGCTCGTTCCTCTCAGTTAGTGTCTTGTTCTTCTTCAACAACGACTGGCCAATCCGAGCAGCCAACTCTAAATCCCGCTCTTTCTGTGAAAGCAGAAGCGAAAGCAGAGGTTGAGAAGATCCGTGCTTCCTGCAGGAGCCACAGGACTCCAGTGTCAGCTGAGAAAACAAGGTGTTCAGCAGTAACAAAGGAATCACTAATTCGCCACCCAGCCATCAGCATCTGATACCCGTTCAGAGAGGAGCACGCTCAGTCCACATAATGTGCAAGGGCTGCATGGACCCCCAGCAACAAAAGGGAACCTTCCAAGAGAAAGAAAACAAATCTTTTCCTGCAGGGAAAACATATTTCCAAAAACCTTTCTCTACAACTGCTTTTGATCCCCGTGTAACCACTGGGTCACCTGTCTCCCTGCCTGAGGGCTATTCTATCACTAGTGCCCAGCACAGGGAAACACTCAGTAACTATAAGCTAGATGAACGGACGAATCCAGAAGTTCCAAAGTGCGCTTAAAATAAAGCCAAGGCAACCCCTATGGCACACAATAAGCTGGAATTTCCCGAGTTCCTTTGAGTTGCCCTGTAGGAAACAAATTGTTTAAAGTTACTCTAAAATAGATACAGTCACACATTCCTTTTACTTGGGGGAGGCAGGCTACTTTGGCTTTAACAGAAATACTTTGAAAATGGAGAAATAATGCATAGAATTGCCCTACTTCAGAGACAAAGACTATGTTGAAGACACAGAATTTTCTGTTAGTTCAGCCGCTGACATTTGGAGCACAGCAGGGCACAGAGGGAAGTCTTTAGTGGCACCAGAGGTACAGCCGCCTTCACGGGAGGAAAGCTGTCTCCTGACAGGGGGGCGGGCTCTGTCACCAAACGCAGATTCATCCATCTTTGCTGGCGGGATTGTTGGCCACCACAATCAGATTCACTTGCTCATTTTTGGGGAGCAAGGGGGAATGGGGAGGAAAACTCCAGAAAACTAAACCCTTTTAGAAGCCTATGCTAATTATTCTGTTCCCCTGGTATAAAAAGTGGAAGAATGGGGACGCATAGCTTTGAGCAGAAGAAAGCTGGGGAGGAATCTGACAACCCCATGGCCTTGGGCCAGTGGCTTCCACTTAACAAGGATCAGGTACCCTCCAGATTTCTGAGTTGGTTTTTTTTCCCAAAACGTAGGTTTGTAAACCATCAGTTGGTTGACAATCATTTTAGTCATGACAACTGACATCGTTTTCAATAAAATTCAGCAGCACAGACCTGAAATACCAACATGCATTTCCCATAATAAGGTATCATGTCAAGTTTAAAATCTGCTTGTCACACATTTACTTATATGAATACTGGGTCGCAATCTAAGATGCATTCCTTACAGTGGGTACCATTCAAAAGGCTAACTGCCCCAGGCGAATTGTTCTGCTCCACCATTTGAGAGTCTGTCTGGGTTCTGACTGAATGCCCCTAGAGCCCAGTTCCCTGGTCTGTGAGATGAGGGAGGGTAGAGGGGCAGACTAGCTTTTACTATTTATTGAGTTGTAAGATTTTTTTAAAAAGCAGCTTTTAGTTTTAACTTCTTACATATCCACCGAATTATTGTACTATCCAACAGTGGCACACCTTCCTCTGCTTGTCACAGGAGTTTCGCTGAATTACAAGCAGAGCACTGAAGTCAAAGCACAGTTTGGGAGGACGGGGTTCAGCAGTGATCTGGCTTCTCCAGAGCTCTTGCGTGAATGACGGTCTCTCTCCCCTTGGTCTTCCATGGTCCTGAAACCCCCAACTGCTGTCCTACTGTCTGGGAAGCCAGCCAGGTGTCATGTCATGTGAGCCACAAATTCTTCCAACTCATTTCCACCATTTGTGTCTCCCCCTCGTCCCCTCCCAGGGAACAAAGGGGGCCAGTGAGTCTGCCTGACCAACTGAGACGCCTGTCTCTATGCACTCATCCGTGCTGCCTACGGCGTCTTCCAAGGAGGGTCCTGATCTCAGTGGCCCTTTATCATTTCTCAGACACAAGAGTATTTGGTATCCGGAGGACAGGACCCACAGGGATCATGCGAGGGAACCCACCTCTCCAGGACCGCCTCTGAATTAGCTGAGTGCAGGTGGTCTCAGCTGGCTAACCCTCAGTAACACTGTAGCAAGACTGTCTATTCCCCTTCAAAGTGCGGTCTCCATGAATCTCACTCAGGTCTACTCAATCTCTACCAGAACAAGTCCTCAGACTAAACGCCCGGCAGGTGCTTCACGCTTGTCGGCTCACTGCCTCCTGTTCTGCGTCGCCTGTCATCACACGTCCAAGCTGCTGAGCTCCCGCGCGCACAGACATTTCATATGCCGTAGCCACATTTTGTATGCAGGTTTCACTACCAACAAATCAAGCCAAAATCGTAATGATGAAGACAGGCTGGGCAAGGACCTGCTGGAGCCCGTGAAGGATGCTGATGGCTTCCCAGAGCACTCGGGGCCAGAACTCAAGAGGAAGGGGAAGCAAGCAGAGGAAGGAAAACAAATGGATGGGGAGGCCCAACAATGAAGCCCTGTGACCCTCTCCACTACACCCCAAGGCACTCCAGACCTCAGACCTGAGAGCCCCCTTGCTCTACTGAGGGGGCAACTCTGACCTCGTTCACACCAAAAATCTAATCTTTATAGTAACATCGAGAAAACACTCTAGGGGGTGGAGGACATAGTTCAGTGGTAGAGCCCACACCTAGCATGCACCAGGTCCTAGGTTTAATACCTGGTACCTCTATTAATAAGTAAGTAAACCTAATTACGCCCCCCAGAAAAGAAAACACTCTGCTGGAAAAAAAAAAAAAGCAAGAAGTTACGGTAAAAATATTCAGAGATAAAATGCGAAAGTTAAAAAAGTTATCAAAGTGTCTCTGGTTTTTCCAATTTTTCTAAGGCAACAGGCCAGTTGGGTTTCTCTTTGAAAATTTCAGGAATAAAAAAAGTCTCATTTTTCATAACCAGCCAACCTATGATAAATATTTACTTCTAAAATCAGGAGAACAGCTAGGAAATGACCATTGGATCAAACCACAGTGAGAAAATGAGACGACAAACAAATTTAGGCCCTTGGAAAGAAGCTATTAAAAGCCTGGTTCTTTTGTTCCGGGAAGCGTGGCCAGGCGGGGCTCGTTCTAGTTTAACTCCCTCCCCAAAGCTCTGTTTCGCTGAAAATTGAAAAGCCTGTGACTTGTGTCTCAGCTTGTGACCAATGAATGCTCACGCTGCCTGGCACAGGCCCGGAGAGGAGCGCAGGCTGCCGCCCACACTGAGCGGCTGACTCATCTCATTCACCAATTTCAGGATCGGAAGCATGACTAAGGGGCCCCCCGGAATAGCCCTCTGCGTGACTGGGGAGGAGGCAGCTCTGCCCAAAGGTAAATTCCGAATAGCAACAAGCCAGGGCAAGCTGCAGAGTCCTCGCCCCCTTCAACCCAGAAGCAAACTCCGCACGCGGCCCAGGGCTGTGCGCCGGCCCCGCCAGCTCCCCACCTGCGTGTGGCAGGCACATAGAACCAAAGCAAACCACTCTGGAGGAGGAAATGGAACCAAAGCCAAGAGACGCAGAGCACGGTACAACCATCAAGGTACTGGGGCCCTGAGACCAACCGGGAAACCGCCAACTTGCAAAGAAAAGCGAGGACTCAGGAGTGAGCCTTATCAGGCCAAGGAGCAATGACATTATATGTAAAACACACAGACCACTGCCACGTCAGCTGCTAAAAATAAAACAAAGCAGGCCCAGCTAGAAGCCACCTAAAGAAACTACCCAAAAATATTCTTTCTAGCAACTCAATTTTTTTAAAAAGGATGACTGCATACTTTTTGTGTAGTGACACTCATTTAGGAAGTTAGCTGGGGGTGTTACGTGAAGTGTTGGTAACTAGGATCTGCATCAAGGGCTGCAAGCCCAGCTGTTCTGGAAGTGGGCCTCAAACATCCAAGCCAAGAGGGATGTTGCCCTGTGGAGAGGCCTCACCCAGCACGGCCAGGTCACACCCCACAGGAGCCAAGGACCGCGGGCCACAGGCACTCGCTGAAGAAGCGTCCCGTAAACAAAGAACGTTACCCAGTTCATGTTTTTAAGGTAAAACTCTCTCACTGACAATCAACTAACCACATTCCCCTAAACTAAACAAACAGGGCAGTAAACACAGCCGAACGCAACAGGGCCACATGCACAGCGGTTAAGGCCGTGCGACCTGGGTGTCTTCTGCCCTCTCAGATGCAGGCCCCCCACTGCAGGGCGGGGGCAACAGAGGCACTGACGCCTGAGGACTATCGCACAATTGATGACATGACGCACGGATAACAAACAGCTCGCGGTCAGTCTCCCCTTAATAGTAAGCATGACCGTGGAAACGGACATTTATCAAAGGCCTGTCATCTCCAAGATTAAAAGCGAGAAAGAAATCACCCAACAAGGTCCCCACCCAGCAGAAACCTATAACCAGTCCAGTTGGATGAACTAAAGCAAACAACTAGAGGATGGCTCCCGTGCTCAGGGCTGGTGGGGTCACAGGGATGTGGCAGCTTCAGAGGTCCCCAGTGAGCCCTGCAGTGCGACATTCAAAGGCAGAAAAAGACAGAGGTGGCCAAACTGTGCACACGGTCACGGGTGGGGGAGCGGGAGGCAGGACCCGATGAGGAGGAGGACTCAGGAACGTGGTCCAGGATGTGGCCTTGAGTGAGGAGTGCGGAGTGCCGGAAGCGGGCCAGGTGAGGACAGCAGGCGTGGGA